CACACTGGCCAAATTAATAGCATGCATCAATACAGTACCTTTTGCTCTTGCAAGTCAGCTGCCATTCTAGCTTGTTCATCAGAATCCAATACACGATCACCGTCAACATCATACTTGGCGAAAACAGCCTCGATTTCAGCATCGGCATGACCACGACTACAAAACATTCAAAGTGACGAACATTTCAAACTAAACTCTGACTTTCAATAGACCCCTTTTGTAAGTCGAGTGCCCTCAACATTTCTTGTTACAGAATGATTGACTGAAAGCGAGGTCAGTAGGTATAGAAACTCCACTGTCTCCATACACTGACACAGCAGATATCCAAGAAGTACTGTTTTAAAGGTAAGAAATGCTGTGAATTTTGACTTTATATTTATTTTGACCCAGGGCTAAGCTGAAAGATGAGGGCACTCGACTTATGAAATCAATTAGTTTGTAAAAAGATAAGTTGGTAAATGTAATACATGCTTAAACCAAGATTAACTCTAGAACTGAGACTGAACTTTAATAGTATCATGTGAAAAGAAGAATTAACAAACTAGAATACAGAAAAGCATCTAATTGTTGATACTTACGCTTTAAGTTCATGTCTCCACTCATCGTAATCTAGTTGCTGATCATTGTTGATATCAGCTTGGGCAAGTGCTTTCTGAATGTCAACAATCTTGTCACGCTTGAAGTTCAGCTTCCCAAGCATTTTATCATAACCCTATAAAAGACAAAATGGTATGGAATTAAGGCAGTTTTTAGAACCAGTAACAGCATGTATGCTTCACATAACAGAAAAAATGATAAAAATATAGCACATAATCATCATAGTTAATTATGGTCACAGTTACAGATCTGTTTAGAAGTTTACATACACACACACACACAGTGTACTATGAAATAATCCTGTTTTGAACACTACACAGAGCAACCCAAGAACTGATGACGTAGAATTTCTGCAAAGATTGAGAGGTATAAGAAAAATTGGAGATTCACTTTAAACATACTTCAGATGTAGGTAAATTACAGAGCAATAAAACATGTCACATCTGTGAAACAGAAAAGGCAGAACCTACCCTCTTGAAGTAGTCAGTAATCTCAAATTCACTCTTCTGGGTAGCAATATCTGCTTTCACCTCACTATAGGTGTCATTGATGATAGCCAAGAACATGTTCTGTGAACAAAAAATAGAAAATTAATTAATAAATTAATTAATTAATTAAAGCACTACCATGGACCGAAAAATATTAGCACTGGTCTTAAAGGTAGCTGTTGAGGTGCAAATATCACCTAGATGGTAAAGCCTAAGATGTTTCATTTCATATTTATTTATCGAATACATAAAAGGTACCATTAATGGCTGAAAAACTCAACATAGTAAAATACAAAAATGTTAATTTAAATTGTTAGGACATTCTAGCAGCTCACAGTAATAACTAAAACAATGAAAATTAACTCGAAATTTTAAATTATTAGTAAATATGATAATCAAGAACAAAAACAACAAATAGCCTCCATTTCTAACGTAATATTTAACGTAATCTAGTAACCTTTCAGGAAATTTAAAATAAATCACCGACCGAGAGAGTATAGTCTACTATACTTGTACTAAGGTTTAAAACATGATTCAAACAAAGTTGATTTATCTTTTGTCAAATAAGTTTCACTGCAGACAATTTACTATTGAGGTCTTTCCAATGTAGACCAAAGTAACAAAATTATCCGTGTTAAACATTGAGTGGGAAGAATACTTACCAGCAGTACAAAGAATACAAAGAACACATAGGTACAGAAAAAGATGGGACCCATGATACGGTTAGCTTGTTCCAATTCATGGAAATCAAAGTCTCCCAGGATAATACGGAACAGGGTGAAACTGCAAAGTGAGAAGTTAAATATGTACAGTTAGCTTCAAGAAAATCCAGGCTGATTTAAAGATTATATGTAATCTTGTTCAGACAATGTTTGACAAACAAGATTATCAAATGTCATGGAATACAACCAAAATTTCAAAGCAATCGGACTTGCTGTTTTCAACAA